TTTCTCCGAAGTTTCGCCGCGACCGATAAGGTTGCAGGTTTTTCACTATCACTCATCATCTGCGGTTCGACAATGCATGAATTCCGTCAACTTTTTGTGCTCTCGCCATTGACCATTACACTGTTCCTATACATATAATTGTATAGATGCTGACTGCGCCATGCCTAAGGATCTCATAAACATTGAGCTTTTTTTCCAAATATTCTAGAAGTGTAAAACGAATTGGATAGGACATCTTGAATTTAGGGGTCACGGACTAATGTACACTTTGGAACAATCTTTAAACCAGAATTGCAATCTCTAGACTTAGTGCTTGTCTTGAGCAGCGGATTCAAGGTGTCCTACCTAGTTTGGCGGCACATTCCAGTTTTAGAAATACTCACGGCTTCAACCTTTCTGTTACTCTGGTAAATCATGCACTTCACACAATATGAGTATTGTACCAATGTTAGTAAAATGATTAGTTCTGGAATAGGAGAAGGTTGGCAGGTAGAAAGTGATGGGAACAAACAGAGGGCTCTTGCTCGATTGCCAAGCAACTTACTTAGCATTGATTAAATACTGGAAATGAGACCTACTACAGTTCTCCGTAAAATGATATCATAGTGCTATCAGCAGGAGAGAACTCAAAACAACTTGCAAAAATAAAAACAGGGTGCATTACCTTATGGTAGCAATCTACATAAGGCACTCAAATAGATAAATATCCCTACTATATATAAAGCGCAAAGTCTGTCTGTCCGTGTGTGTGTCACGAAATTCATAGCGCGCGGACCAGCAGTCGTCAGGAGTTGATTTCAGATATGATATAGGGGTGGGACGGGAACATATTTGGTGGGGACAGAAAGTGATAACAGCTGATAAGGGCTGATAAGAAGCGTTGGAACGCAAATGTCACGAAATTCATAGCGCAGGCCCAGCAGCATTGAGGCGTTGTTTGCAGATATGATATAGGGGTGGGACGGGAACATATTTGGTGGGGGACAGAAAGTGATAACACTGATAAGGGCTGATAAAAGGCGCTAGAACGCAAGTGTCGCGAAATTCATAGCTCGGGCACCAGTGGTCGTCAGGAGTTGGTTTCAAGATATGATATAGGGGGTGGGACGGGAACATATTTGATGGGGACCAGAAAGTGATAACGGCTGATAGGGCTGATAAGGAGCGTTGAAGGCAAATGTCACTGAAGTTCTTATCCAGATGTGGGATAAGAAAACATATCATTTTTTCGCGATGTAGTCGTGATCCATTCGACCGCTAATCTGCCCGAGCTTCTTAAATGGTCGGTGTCTGTGGAAATACGATAAATTGGTAATTCTATCGCATCACCGGTAAAAGAAGTTATTAGACCGCTAAACTATCCCAGTATCCAAGCATGGTAGATGTTTACGTGAGGGCTGATAATAAGCAGCCCAAGTAATTGTATTAGTTATCCAAAGGTCATTCGGCTGCTAGACTTTGTTATCCTTCTATTTTATAAAGCGCTAACTTTGTGTGTCGGTTTGTGTATCTGTATGTGTGTGTGTATGTGTGTCCGTCCGCAAAATGAAGTGAGTGAGAAGGAAGCTCATGGGATAAACAAACCGCTAACAAATCGGGTAGCTTACAGGATTTGAGATATCAATGTTTTGTAGCAGGATAGTTGTGACTCTCAGGGCTATATAAACACCTGCTTAGCACACTTCCGTTCATTCCACAATGGTGCTGCAGTGGCAGCTGAGGGCAGTGGAGAGAGGAAGGGAGGATGAGGAAGGGAAGCGAATAAACCTACCGTCATATCATGATTGTGTCCCTTCTACTGTTTGAAACACCATTGTGTTGCATACGCGTCACTTCCAGGAGGTGTTGGTGTCACAGGAGGAAGGGACCATAGCGGAGGATAGAAAGCTTGCGCAGGAAAGGAAGGTCCCGGCGGTTGACGGGGGACTAATCTGGTTTTAGAAATGACAATGTTTATTGATGACGAAAACTATGAGAAAATTGCTTTAAGTTATTACGCTTTCCTTAATACCACATCAGTCAAATCCATTGGTAGCAGTATGTCACTCAATGCATGAGTCCGGCTATACTCAGTTTCACTGAAGCCCATGTTGACATGCGCAAATATGGTGGGTGGAGCAAAGTGGTGTAAAGTAAATATAAATAGATATGTCGGCAGTCTCGTGCGAACATGTCCCTCTTCATGTGTGAAATATTTGACTCGCTTCCACAGCATTTCTGTCGTAGCATTTCGCAGCGTTTGAAGATTGAAAATCGCCTCTCACTGAAGGTATGTTCGACTGCTCCTGCTTTTATATGCCCACATAGTACGTCGATTGAAGCGACGCAGTAGGAGGCCTACGTGCTGCGATGGACCTCCAGACTATCTTCCAGGACGTGCCAATGATTTGATTGCTGATTTCAGATACTTGAGAAAAAACCACAAATGTGGTCGGCCTGCCATCCTCATTGACGAGTGTATTCCGGAGTCGATTGGAGGGAGTCCATGGTTCAGCGCACGATAAATGGCAGAGCTCCTTCAGTGCAATGGCCGCTCCTCAATATCTGATCGAAAGGAATAATTATGACGAAAGGATGTTTTGTGATCTGACTGACACAAACTAATAAGACGATAAAATATTTCATGGACATTCTGACTTGCTGCCTCTCTCTTGTTTGATCCGCCAACTTTGCTAGGGATAACAAGAAATGGGCCATCACATAAAACCGCACTCGAAAGCACGACACTGGCTCGGATGCGTAGAACAACGGGCTACAGCGCCGATTCAAGAACGGTAAACTGGGAGGCGACTTTGTATGCTCATAAAGCTGCAGATGTTTCGCTCACGGAGAGCTGCTGCCAACGGAAGTCTGCTATTGATGAACAATAGTGTCGGCAAGTGGATAGTTTCTCCGGTATGGTGCTCGGAGATTCTGAAAAACTTTACTTATTCCGGCAACGCTCGCCCATGAATCACGAAGAAGGCCCAGGAAAAGTCCCAAGTCCTTATTGATGATTGACCATTACTGGTTACAGCAAAACCTCCGGTAGAGACAGGTACATGTCCCGCTGCTGCTGCAACCGAATAAGATACTGAACTGAAATAGGGGCAGTTTGATGATCCGGACCTACTCGGAAGTCAACCTCTTTGGAGCTATTCGCCCCTAAGACTCGGGTTTCTTAACGGCCGGCAACCATGACGTTTGCCTGCTGAAGTGAAATGTTTGGACGATTATGGTGGTGTACGTATTTAACAATTGTTAAAACGAAGAAAGCAATTCTGAAAAAAATGCTTCTGTGGACCCAATATGAGCCCCAATGCATAGACGAGAAATCATTTCCGAAAAAAAAAAACTTTTACACCGTGAACTGAACTCATTGTGAAGAACTCATGCCAGGGACAAATGTGGCTACACACATATACAAACGCCAGATCAGTACCATCTCCTATAACCTCCTATTGTGCAAACACCAACTGGTATTATACATTGTTTAGGTAGTACGAGCTTACAAATGGACTTCGTTACGGAAGCGATAGCTGTCATTTGAGAAGAAATTATCGGAACGCTGCGGTGTAGTAACATTGATGAGTTGTAATGACTTTTCGTAGTACAATAAGCTCGCAAAATTCCCTGACACAAATGCTTACGTGAGACTTCGAATCATTTCTCGTCTTTCCAGACAAAGTCGATCTCGGCGATCACGAATTAAAATAGCGGGGGATTCCACCAATCTGGGGTCCAGCCTTCAACTTGCAGACCAGATATCTCAGTATCCCAATACTGGGCTCAATCAGTGGAATCAACATCCACCAACCAATACCAATAACCAGCAAAATACAGAATCTGGTTATATGTTGTTGTTGTGTGTTGATGTTGTTTGTGTCCAGACACAAATGTGTGTATATGTATATATTTATTTACAAAAACTTCGATAAAACTAGGCATTGAAGCACGCCAGAGCTTCGATTTCAGTGGCGGCCACTCACGGAAGTCTTATCGAGAGAACTCTATAGACAGTACCAGACACAGTGCACAGCGCTACTCTACTACCACATGCAGTTTCATAAGAGCTTCTGTAAAACAACTCAATTTTATATACGTGGCAGCATTGCCATGCAAAAATTGAAATAAGAAAATTAACATGAGTTCAGGTAAAAATCTTCTAAATTATGCATCATATTTGGTTTGCCTGGAAGTTCGCGCCAACGCATGGGCTCCTTGTCAGTTCCTACTTGTCGTCGCTTAACGCCGTGAACTTGTCCTCCGTCCTGATTTCCGTGCACGAGATACTGAGGGTGAAGGAAGAGGTAGTAACCGGAGTTAGCAAGATCAAGGCTGAGAGTGCTAAGAAACACCAGCTACCTATTTCTCCAGCTCAGCCTCGGCCGCCTTGCCGTGCGAGCTTATAGTAGCGTCGGTTGCTGCAGCTAATCCGTGGTTGCGATCGCAGCTAGCCGATAAACAGTCAAAGCTTTTGAAACCTTGATGTATGGATTTCGGAAGAACCGCTAAGCGCGGAAAAATCGAAACAGAGAACTAGTTCAAAAGGGCGTTCGATGACTTGTTGAAGTTTCAACCCATGTTCTACTAGGAATAGGAACTCGACAAGCGGCCTCAGCGTTATCGTTTAGATGTCGGCCAGACTCGGCGATTGCAACGCGATGGACCAGCGATGGAGCGATCGCGTCGCTCCGGCGGTGGTCCATCGCGTTGCATCGCCGAGTCTGACCGGCATCTTACTGCTAGACGGTGATGGTACTTATTAACAATCTGCAAGCCTATTCCCATACAAGGTAAAAAAAAATGTAAAAAGACGTGGTAGCAGAAAATGTTCCGGCTAAGCAATTAGCTTGCTGACAGAACTTGAACATGTACATTACAAGTGGGACAGGAACGCTGGAAATCTGGTAAAAGAAAAGGAGTTGGCAGTTTCCCCTACCTTCGCTACAAAAATGTAAGAGGGTATTTTAAAAGAGCAATCGAGACAAAAGAATGAATAACAGTGAAAAGGAAGAACAGCGTGACGAGGATGACGCCGTAACGTCTTTCTTTCTTCGAGTTTCCGCGTAGATCGATTCCAACTCGCCATCCAACGCCTTGTTGCAGTTCGGAGTGTGACAGCAACAAAACGAGAACTAAATTCGTAAGTACGGCTCAAAGGTCTGCTTCACCCTAGAATACTTCAGATCAGTGTTCCCTATTATGACGAAGGGGTGGGGCTACACCGCTCGGAAGTGAATGGGGGTGCGAAGCAAGGTAATAGGGAAGAATGGAGAAAAGAGCCCTCTAGACCACTGGAAATACATCGTTCTGGGAGAATACTATGCTACGACGAAGAGTCACTGAGCGTTAAGGAGAGAAGGTAGGTGCAAGGGTATGTCGGATAGAGAGACGCGGACACCCCTCCCCCTTACCGTTGCTTCGCATCTAACAGCGGATGCACCTCGTAGCGCAAGTAGCCCCCTTCGACACTACCGCGCCGCGTCAGCGACACATCAGCAGCCCTCGCATCATGAACACTAGTTGCGTGATCACCAAAGTGATATGGTCACCTGGAATCATAAGGAGCCTTCAATATTTTAAGGTCAAGCGAATTGCTCCTGTTCAATGAGTGAGAATGAGATCGTAAATTGTACCATGCCAGGGTACGCGGCCCCAACCCACTACGAGAAATCATCTAGGCGTGGAACGTTGTAGGTCCTGAGAGGCCTTATTGGTTGGTCGCGAGTGGTCATGAAAGACTATTTCGCCCAAGGGAAAGACTTGTGCGAGAAGGTGTCAATAAAAGGGGTCCAGGAAACAGGGCGCAGGAGTTCAAAGCAACAGTCCCAGCAGGGTTTTTACCTTCGACACTAATGGTGTGGAACGATGCGCTAGCCCTAGTCAAGAACATAAGAAGTGTGACTGAACAAAAAACTCACCTTGGAAAGCCGCTAGAAAGGGAGCTTCGAAGTGGGCGTGGTTGCTCAGTCGGCTGCAATCCCCTCGGCCGACTTCCAACCACGCCCACTTCGAAGCCGTTCAGCTCCCTTTCCAGCGGCTTTCCAAGGTGAGTTTTTTGTTCAGTCACACTTCTTATGTTCTTGACTAGGGCTAGCGCATCGTTCCACACCATTAGTGTCGAAGGTGAAAACCCTGCTGGGACTGTTGTTTTAAGAGCTGCAGTGGCCAACATAAGACCCGTACCTTAAAGCCAATCGTTGCATCCCCAGCAGGCGTTCATGGGTCACTACATTACATACATTAAAACTGAATCTCACATTTCCGTTCATGCCGTCGAAAACCGAAATAGGAGCACAACCGTCGATACGTGAGCATGCTGCCCGATCACCTCCAGTGTATCCACATCGGGATGAGATACCTTGTTGAAAGAC